AGTGTAGACATGTTGTTGAGAAGAAACAGGATGCTTACTTGAGAGAACAAAATCTTTGTAGCTTTTTATTCACCTTCTGGTTTGTTGATGCTGTTTGAGAATTTCATTTCCTTGCATTGAAGTTAGCCCTTGAAGTAATGAGTCAATGTTATATATAATAATAGTTGTAGATACAGTAAATGAGTAAAGTAAATGATCTTCTTTCTTAGAAACCTGCCTTTAAGGAAAAACATTACAAAAGAATGAGAATGTCTTCTGAGTATTATTTTAACCTGAAGACTAGAAGTGTGTCTGCCTTTCCTAAAACAGTAAAAGGGATAAATTTTTGGTAAACAGAAGGTGTCAGTTATGTTGCATAGTTCAGCCTGTTTGCAGCAGATGTTTCCTGTGCTTAGCAGTAATAGCATTAGCGAATGGTAGGCTCCTACAGGCTGTTAAAATTAGCAAGCTGAATAGTGTAGCAAGTACAAGTAGCCTCTCGTCTGCATCCCTGTGTTCTGTTTTCCACCTTGCATTAAGAGTACAGTTATATCTCACCAAGTTTCATTCCCAGTGTTTCTACAAATATGATGAAACTGCCTTGTGAAAAAGTCAATTAAAATGCTTGTCTTTGCTAGGAAAGTAGTATAATAGGCATCTTAAAATGTGATAGTAGATAGCTAGGTGCTGGAATGCTGTTGGAGCCCAAATTCTTTATGAAGCCAGAAGGAGATTGAGAAGATTGACTTGTGCTATATGTTGAAGGAAGTTCTATTTATTTTTTAAAGAAGAAGAGTTAAGGTGTTAGTTATATCTGCATGTACATCGTGCTGCAAATTGAAATTCTGTTAAGATACTGTCACAGTCCTGATTTAAGAAGTAACAATTCTGCTTATGAAGATCATAGAGGCTACATGGGCAAAATACTTGGCTGAAAACTATCCTTGTATTGGCTGGGTGAATATCCTGTTGTGATCTGTTTTCTCAGACACCAAGTTCAGACACTAACTTCAGTTAGTAGAGAAGTTACTCTGAGATTAGTCCTGAGCAGCATATAGCATCTTGTTTTATGTATATCAGAGCTGCTTTTGTGACTGTGTTCCAATAACCTTGTTTGAGCAAAGATGTTTAGAAAAATGTAAACTATAGCAACATTAAATTTTAAAAAAGCATCTCAGTTTTGAGAAGCTTCTTCAGGAGGAAGCCAAAAGGGTAAAATGCTTGAAAATGCTGTATTAATATGGTTGTGTTGTCATATGCTGACTGTGATGATAGCATCGATTCCTATCCAGAAGGACGTAGACCAGGAAGATGATGTTCTCTGAGAAGTAGAAGCTGTTGAATTAAGGAAAACAGGAAGGAGCAAACAAAATGGAAGTCTGTTGAGACAGAGGGTTTGAGAACTGGTTTAAGTGCTTAAAACTTGAAAACCTTGCACATTAAAAGCAAGAAATTTGCCAGAGTCACTAGGACTCAGACATGAAAGGGCAACCCGGAGAAGTCAGATCATGTAGTAAAAACTAAGTGAACTAATTACATTACTTTTTGTTAGAGAAGTGCTTAAGAGACTTCTCACCAGAACTTTCTTTGATTCCAGGCAATGGTCATTTTAAATTTCAGTAAGGAGTGTTGTACAGCCATGTCTGGTGCTGTGTGCTGAAGAATTCCAGAGGAGCTTAACCACGAAACCATGGCGTATGGTTTGAACTTTAAATGATTTTTTGATTATCTAGCTCTTGTGCTGTTGTCCCATGCAAACTGAAGCATTAAACGAAGTGCTGCCTTGCCAGTGCAAGGTAGAAAATATGAAGCTGACTTCTTACAAAGTAGATCAGGGAAGAAAATGTAGACCAGTGATGGGTGTTATTCTTTTGAGTCTTTCATGATGTGATTAAGAATTGCAACTGTTAATCATCTGAAGAGAATGGGGCAGAACAGAACAGTGGGACACTGAAGTGAGAGAGTGCTTCTGTGCTTGCTGTGTTTCTGGCCTTATTGCCACACTAGGGACTGCTTTTGAAAGACTGCGCTGTGTATGGTAGAGGCTGCAGTGCGCAGGGGAACTGAGACCCCTTTTATTCTCCTCCTTCCCTAACATAGGATGGCTATAGTAAACAGATTTTTTTTTTTCCAGGAATGTCTGGATCTCCTGGAGTGGTTGGATGGGGTTGATGCCATAACAAAACAGAACTTGCTTGTGTGACGGTACATAAAGAAAGAGGATAGTGCATGCTTTTATAAAGGTAGTTGCATCTTGCAGGTCTGATTTCCTCGAAGGATTCGTTGTTGATCCTTATTCATGTGGTCAGTCTGATAACACAGAACTGTTGGATTTTTTCAGAAGAATGTTTCTGAGATTCTTTTTTGAAGACTTTGTAAAAGCTGAACAGTCACAGGTTTGCTGGGCCTTATGGGTTAACTGCTTAGAAGTAACCAAAGGAAAGAATAAATTATTTACTTTATAATAAGTTAAGGTTACCAGTGGAATCACTCAGGGCTGTTGCTTGATATATTCATAAATACCTGGAGGGAAGAAATGAATGAGAAAAGGATAGAAAGGATAATAGAAAGCTAGAGCTGACTGCAGGCAGTCGCAGTGGGAGTTCATTGTTCATTAGGTTGTAAAATTGCTGATAAAATTAAATTCTAGTAAATATGGAATCATGAATCTGAAGAAAAATAATTCAGGCTGAATATACCCAGTGGGTGGGCTTTATGGTGTTGGTGGTTATTGTGCAGGAACCACCTTGAAGCTCCTTCATAATGGTTTCTTTTAAAGAGCAGCCGTATGCTCAGATACCCTCAAACAGCAGTTTGCAGCAATCTTTTTGTTACCAGCAAAGTTACCAGCAAAGACATGGACAATAAAATGAAAACAGGTGTGTGTCATGGACTGAATGGCGTAATTATGTGTTGACTCTGTGCATTTCTGGCCACCTGTCAGAAAACATGGTGCATCTGAAAACAGGCTGAAGAAGGTTAGCAGTGATCAAACTTTGGACCTGTTCCTGTGTAAAGAAAGAAGAACAGATAAGGATTGCTAGCTTGAAAAAGAGCTGGTGGCTAGCAACAAATGGAATTGAGAGCCTGAGAAGTGTTATGTTTGGAGATGAACTGCTGGTAATAAGTCTTTTCCTCCAAGAAAAAGAGCATCAGATAAAATCATTAACAGGCAGCAGCTTAAAATAAAGCACTTTTTTATTCTGATGCATACTTAAATTCTCATAGAATGCCATGAGTGACAAAAGCATAAATGGACTAAAAAGACCTGGAAAAATTAGTGGAAGAAAAGTCCTTTGAGCTAATATGTGTTATAGTTGGGATCCACCCCAAAAGTATGCCAAAAGAAATTACTGGAGGCTTGGGAGGACTGCTGCAAGGGAGGTGGATAACTGCTTTGTCTGTTCTTGCTTTCACCCTTTATCAGCCTACTGCTGATTTTTATAAGCAGGACAATGGGAAGTCTTTAGTTTGGCCCCACTGCTGTTAGGTGTATTCAAGTGTTTTCTTCGTCAGTCTTTACATCTTGGAAAGAGCAAAAAAGCATACTTTCTAGAAACAAAATAGAATAGGAGCATGCTAGTTTGTATTTTCTGTCTTGCTCTGAAGGGATTTTTGAAATCAAGTAGATTCATCAGCAAATTGAAATTTTTAGTTGGTAAGCCTGCTGTGTAGGTAAATGTTCAGTTCTGGATCCAGGCCCAGTTAAGATAAGAGAAAGGACAAACTAATTCTAAATATGTATGCTTTTTAGAAGTATATTTGTGCTTTGCTGCTAAAATCTCTTTGTGTATGGAAAAGAATCCTGACACTTAAAAATTGGGCATGTGGTCTGTTGGAGGCTATCTGTTAGAGGGGGAAATCTCTAGTAAAATGAGTTGCAAAAGTCTGAGTGAAGAGTTCTACTAGAGATGTATAAAATTTTCCTTTTGGAAGGCTAAGTATGTTAACTAAGGATTGAACCTGTTTTTTGGGGGAGGGGCAGTATTTGGATTTCACTACAATGTTGAATTGATATGTTTGTTGAATTACAGAGAAATCTTAGAAATATGTCAACATGAAAATGATGGTTTTATAAAATACTGCAGCAGTAGCTATTTGCATTTTTTTGTTTTTGTTTGGCATGCCTTGATGCTTTTCTGTTGAAAAACCTGAAAACTCAAATTGATCTTTCAAACATGGCAGCAAGTGTTCTATAGCATCTGGAGATGGGAAACAGAAGGCTTTAACAGGTGTATAAAGATCCAGTGTCAGAACTCCTCATATAACACTGGTATTAATGTACTTTACGCTTGAGAATATATTTAACACTTTTCACTTTGAGTAGTTCAGTTGTAGAGGTCACTTTCTATATGAATGAATGGCTAATAAAGGGCTTGAGTGGTAAAAGCAATCCCTGTTTTTCAAAGTGGACTTTTTCACATCAAGGAATACTTGAATGTCCCTTTTATTGCACTCTACAAAAACTTATTACTGCCAGTGGTCTGTTCCCAAGTCTGTGTAAACTTCTGCATACACAGAAGTAAGAACCCCTGGAAGAACAAACCTACTTGAAGATTTTAATTTTTCTTGTGCTGCTTCACATTTGGATCATTGTGTAGTTTTTAAGACTATGCCTTGTTTTTTAAAGAAAATAATCTTTGGGAATCAGGAATTGAATTTGACCTTCACTGTTGAGCCAGTGAGGTTAGTAAATATCTACTAGTGTTGGTGTCCTGTGTCTTTTGACATCTTTAGCATTTAGGTAATGTGTTGAAGGCTGATGTGTAGGTATTGTGGAGATTACTGTGAGGTGCTGCCATGAAAACCAAGTATGAATATATCTGTCCCAAATCCCAGATCCCAAACCCTCCAGTTTCCCATATGAAAGACTAAATGTTGTGGCATTTACCTTTCTTGAAAGTACTGCTGGTTTTGGTTAAATGATGATATTAAATAAAGCCTAAGGCCTGTTTATCTTGAAATTTATTATAATAGTTAAATTGTCATTATAACTGATGCTACCTTCTCCTTTAGACTACACGAAGAAATAATTGACTTCTATGACTTCATGTCCCCTCGTCCTGAAGAAGCAGCTATGAGAAGAGAAGTGGTGCAAAGAATAGAAACAGTCATCAAAGATCTTTGGCCTACAGCTGATGTGAGTGTAATTTAAGTGTTAATTTGCTTCTCTAGTAAATTGTAGAGCTTGGTTCACTTAGTCTTGCTATTATCTTTCTGTGTTTTAGAAATGAACAGATAAGACTTCAATCTTAAGGCAATTGACTTAATATCACAGCTCTTCAGTACTTGGCAGTTTATTTTAAAAAGTGGAGGAAATTTAAAACCTAGATTTCAGGCTACTGATAATTTTTTCATTTTGAGAACTGGGGGTGTGAAGAACTGTCCACTTTAAGAAGTGCATTTCTTAAAGTAAAAGGTTATTAAATAGATTGTCTCTGCATAACTTCATTTTGAATATTAAAGTGAGACTGACTACCGATGTAGCCATTTCTGTGAGGAGTCCTGAGTCTGTGGATATTTGTAAACACAAGTATTTTACAAAAGAACAGTTAAAAACAGTTAAAAAAAAAGTTTTTGTACTCTTCACAAATCGGACATTCAGGGAATTACTTTAGCCCTGCTTTAGTGGGAAAATTAGACTTGACTTCCTGAGATATCTTGCAACCAAAGTTGTTGTATTTTCAAATCCTTTATTACCCAAAGAGTAAGTTTCCTCCAAACAAAAAAACATCCAGAAGGAATGTAATGTAAACTGTATCTCCAGCATCACCTTTCTGATTACCAGATAGTAGTGTTGTCTTTAACAAGCAGAAAAACATTTCAGACCACTGTGATTTCATAGCCTTTCATGACAAAGAGTGAGGGCTGTGGCCACAGCACTGAGCTAAAGATACTGTAAAGCTCATCTACTTCATCCTCACCTGTGATTTTCCTTAGTAATAACACTTTTCTAGCTTGTGGGAACAGATATAAACTGAAATGGCCCAGTGTTGCCTAGCCTTTTCATAGATCACTTCAAAGAAATGAACTTGTAAATTGTGCTCTGCTGTAGCAGAGGGGGAAGAACGTCTCAATTCTCTAGATTGGAAGTATACTGAAAGTATTTGATGTGGACTGTGAATGTCTCTTCAGCGTGCCTTCTTTTCTGCACACAAACACCTACCACAATTTCATAGTCATCTGTACAGTAAAATCTGGAGTATTCATGTTCATCTGAATTATATATTTAGATGCATTCACTGGTTTTTAAACCTAAAAATTTGGAAAAATGTTTCCCTTAAACTCTTCCAATTTCAGTAAAGCTGTCCTATGAGGAAAGAAGGGAGCAGGAAGGAGGGAAATTTATAACAGCTTATACTTCTGCTGAACTGGAAATGAATAGTGAAAAGGACTTGTTTCAAAAGTTTGTGCTCTTCTGGTAGCAGGATTGGTAGTCATTTCATGTTAAAAAAACCCCAGCTTCCTCTAAAGCTGCATCTGTAAGATAAAGTGTGTTTGTACAGGCTCAACAGAGTATGTAGTAAAGTAAGTTCAGTAACTTTTACTGGGCTGTATCCTTAACAGGTCCAGAAAAATTTTAAGTCTTGTGAAAGTGAAATGAAGTGAGCATTCATAATTACAAGATATTTCACTGGTGTGGGTTTTTTTCAGGTCCAGATATTTGGCAGCTTTAGTACAGGGCTTTATCTTCCAACTAGGTAAGTAATAATTTACTTTTATATAAAAGCTTGTCCTCTCTTTTAGAGTAATGGTAATTTTGAAAGGGGAATTTAGACTGGAATGTGTAAACCTGTCAAACTTCCAGTAAAATTTTTGCCTAATGGCTAATGTGACAAAGGGAAGAGCTTTTGAACTTGCAGATTTGAGATAAGTATTTGATATATCATTGTACTGCTCTAGGTATTTACTGACTGGTCAATTACCTTTTCTTCCTTGTGTCTGGGGTTAGTCTTTGGCTCTTTGTTTTCAAGGTACAGTGAAATTGAATGTTTAGTATTTTCTGTGTAAAGATTGTGTTTTGTTAAATAGTGTGAATTACTGAGAGTGTGTCACCATAGAGTTACTGTGCAAAGTCAGAGGAGTCATCACAGCTTTGTTTTCCCATTTCTTTGGAGAACAAAATGTCTTATTTAATTCAGTGTTTTATATTGCTTAATGATTCAGTAGATGGATGTGGAAAACCTGTGTAGCTGTGTCTTACAGCATGTTGTCTTTACATGAATTAAATTTTCAGTAGGAAGGCACTGGAAATTTCTTTTCTATGAATAACAATCACTGATAAAAATTGTTTGGACTATTGACATGCCTGTCAACACGAGTAGATAAGGGATGGGATTGGGCTGTGGAAGTCAGAGAGGAGGGAACAAGACAGGTTAAAAGGGAGAGGAGCTCAAAGAACTGGTTAGAGAACTGGAAGCAAGAAACTAGAATGCTACTTTGGGTCCTAAAGCACACTAGACCATCTCTTACTTAACATTGCTAAAGGAGGCTTATTGGGAACCTAGATTAAAAGTTGCAAAATGATCACCCTGGAGGATTTGTAATATGTAGAATGCCAATTTTACCTTCTTTTTTTTTTTGGTAGAGTATTATGCTTTAGACTTAATGGATCTCATGCTGTGTTCTTTTTGTCTAGTGATATTGATCTAGTTGTTTTTGGGAAATGGGAGCGGCCCCCTTTACAGCTGCTGGAGCAAGCACTAAGAAAACACAATGTGGCTGAGCCATATTCCATTAAAGTACTTGATAAAGCTACGGTAAGTAATAGTCTTCGGAATACTGAACTGAAAAGCTTTCAGACTCCTTAAGATGTTAGTGATAAATAGCGTTCTTAATTCATGAAGGAAATGATATTGTCTGCAGCACAATGTTTTGGTCTGTGCAAGATTTTAGTAGAATCTGTGTTTAGCAATAGCACACAGTTTTTTTACATGGACAACAGTAATTTTGTGTACTGTATTTGCTGGAAGGCTATACTTTGTGCTTATTTCATCAATAAAGATCTGAAAGTCAGTATTTGCAAAATATCTAGTAAAATAAATTAACTATTTGTATAATGTTTTTCCACTGACTTTTGGGAGGACTTTGTTTAGCCAGGGGCCAGTAACTAGAGCTGTCTAGCCTGAAACCCTGATTTTTCAGGCTGTCTTGTTTCTGATGGCATAGTAAAGTGGTCCAAACCTAACAGTTGTTTTTCCCTTCCAAAATATGCTACTTAAGAGCTTTATTTGATCTGTGAAACTGATGTGTAGTATCTCTTGCATCTGTCTTGTAAGCCTAACGGATCACATTGAATGTACTAAAAACTCAAGGTATGAGAGCTTTGTGTAACTGAGCAAGTGGTGTTTTCTCCAGGAGACGAAGCAGAGTATTCCAGACTTCTATTAGCAAGCTGTTGGGTTCTGTGGTCTCTGAAATAGGGTGACTCTTTTAGGTCCAGAAGATTCCTATGGCTTCTGTTGGAGTAGCAGTACATGATAGTAGCTCTGGTAATCTTCGGTTTACCTGAGAATGAGTGGGATTTTCAGAATCAGTGATACCAGTTAATGATGGAAAATGGCACTAGGCTAGACTTATCAATTTTACTAGCCTTTCTTATTTTATTCCCTCTGCTGTTGGTATGTAATTATGCTATACTTCTGCTCTCTTTTGTTTTCCATTTCAGATTAAAAATACAAGAAAATAAATTTAAAATATATGTTACCAGCTGAAGTTTAGGTTGTGGTTGTAAGATGATTTTGTAGGATACTGACTTCAAGGTGGTGGTGTGAAACTGAACTACATATTCAGTAGTTCTGTGATAATTTACAGCTGCCAGAAGAAGAAGTATTGCTACTTCTGCTTTGCTTTTATCCATTCTGGCTTTTGTTTGACTCTGCAGTGAACCAGTTCAGCTTGATAAACCAATAGACAGTGCTTTATTTTTTCTGCTAGGCTAGTCTTCTGTCAGTTTAGCAAGTGAATGGTGTAGTGCTGGGTCAGATGAATGCAGTTCCCACAGATTATGAGTAGAATATCTCCTATTAACAGCAAGTCATTAAATTAAGTAAATTTAGTTGTCTTACAAAACACTGATACTGCATATGAAGGCAGATATCTAGTAGCTATGTGAGAGTACACGAGTGAATCATAAGTTAATGTGGTCACGCCTGTGTTTTTAATCACCTCACTAAAAAGCATTCCCTTGTCAGTCAAGTTAGGATTGTTATCTTTTCTCAAAACCACGCTTCCTTGTCTTGATAGTTGCATTCATTTGCATGATAGTATCCATGTGTCTTAAGTGAACAAGCTGGAGAATAGCAGCATTGTTATATTTCTGGGGATTCATAAAACCTTGTTTTAATATTTTCAGGTACCAATAATAAAACTTACTGACCAGGAGACAGAAGTGAAAGTTGACATCAGTTTTAATGTAGAGACTGGTGTGAAGGCAGCTCGATTTATCAAGGAATACATGAAGGTATCAGCCATATAATGAATATTATACTACTTACCAAGGATGTGCTAGATGCTTAGCTAACCTTTTTTTGGTATGGCTTAAGACTTTTGAAAATTTATTGCTGAAGACTATTTTCATTAATACTAATTAAACATGGATATTATAATTTATTTTCTACTGGTGTCTCTTCAGTGTTGCCTTTGAGTGCTAGGTGTTTGTGTGGATAAACCTGTACACCGAAAGGACTTCTGCAATGATATCTAGAATCTGCAGATAGGTGCTAAACTTTGCTTCTAAAGCCAGTCTGTTCAAATTTTGCTCACCTTGAATTTAAGTGTTGCTTGATTATGAATGCTATCTTGCTAAACAATGTCTAAAAACAATTATTCTGTAGCTACATACTTAAAATCAAGTTTACTTTTATGCTCTGCGGTATAACTAGTGTTTAGATTAAAAGCTTTGACTATAATGAGTGACACTGGCATTCAAAGAAGGATATAAAAATCTTTCCTGTTTAGGGGGAGAAATAAATTTGATATGTAAGCTATTTGATCAAATAAGAGTTGAAGTCTATTAATCTGTTTTCTAGAATTAAAAAAAAAAGCATGTTTCAGTTCTTCCTGTGAAAACACTTTATAGCACGCTACTGGATAACATTTTTGTACGAGAAGATGAATCTTCTTGTGTTGAGATTGTGTGGTTCGTTCTTTGTCTTGGAATGTTGACATTGTCATTGATAAGACTTATTTTGCTTTGCAGAAATATTCTTTGCTGCCTTACTTGATTTTAGTATTAAAACAGTTCCTCCTTCAGAGGGACTTGAATGAAGTTTTTACTGGTGGAATTAGCTCTTACAGCCTAATTTTAATGGCAATTAGTTTCCTGCAGGTAAGTCTGTTCCTTATTTCTTTTAAAATATTTTAGTTTCTGTACTTATGCCCTATTATGGTGCTGTTTCTTTAGACTCCCCTAGCACTGCATGGCTTTACTGTTGTGGCTCTAGGTGTTTGGTCATTGGCAGCTCCTGTGGACTACCTCTCAAACCTCTAAGAACTTCTGTTCACTGTGTGAAGTGAAAGAGCAGCAGGAGCCCTGTGAACAGCATAGAGGCTGTGCATTGCGTTCTACACCAGGGCCAGTGATGTGGATTATTCTTCCTGGGCAGCCTATTCCAGTACCTGAATCATCTTACTGGTGTTTTGTATATCTGCCAGGATGCAGTTTAAGTCTGTTGCTTTCTAGACTAGTGATACTGAATGTGTGGAGTAGTTGGTTTCAGTGTTTATTAAAATTATGAAATCAAAGAGTCAAGTTGTTTTTTAATTATATGTTTATTAGGTTTTGATGTACTTAAAACTGGCAGATATTGTAGGTAATTGATGAAATAGCTAATGAGTCACTTCTTCCAATTCGTTTTTGTGACTGTAAGCTTTACATGAGTATGACGAGGTTTAATGTTAGTGTATCTCAGCAGCTGTGATAATGGAAAACCCTACATATTCTGCTGCTATTAATGATTAATTGAAATGTTACTATAGATTTTTACATACTGTATATAATATGGGGAGAGTGAGAAAAGAACTGTATTTCAATTGGGATAAATAGATTCACCCCCCGCTTCTGAAAATGGTAAGACCAATGGATGTTCTGTGAAAAATCAGGTATTACTTTGTTACTGAGCTGTAATGTAGTATGCAGCACTTCTTTATTGCTTTTAGCTTATGGAAAAGAATTTACTAATCCTCAAAAGAGGAGGGAAGAAATAATTCTTTGGCTTCCAGATACTGCTGAAGTGCTGCCCCCTCTTGGTTATGTGAAAGTAGTTTAAGTGCATGTAGAATTAATGACTCAAGTCAGATTTGTGTAGAGATTATACTCAGCTGTTTAAATGAGAGCTTTTTGTTGCACTGTGTTACGGTCTGAAAAGCATTAATTTTTAATAATTAACTGTTCTGTGTCACAGCTGCATCCAAGAATTGATGCCAGAAGAGCTGATGAAAACCTTGGAATGCTTCTGATAGAATTTTTTGAACTCTATGGAAGGAATTTTAACTACTTGAAAACTGGTATTAGAATAAAAAATGGAGGTGCCTATATTGCCAAAGAAGAAATTATGAAAGTTATGACTAATGGATACAGACCATCCATGCTATGTATTGAAGATCCTCTCCTGCCTGGTAAGACTGTACACTTCTTGGAATATTCCGGAGCTCTGGCTCAACTTGTGCTCTCACAGCTTATGTTAGCGCCCCTAAAATCTGTCAAATGAGTTAAGAAGCAGCACTGAGAAGAGACTGTTGCTGGTGTTGAGGTACAGGTATGGAGATGGGCTTAAGGGATAAGGACCTGAAGTCTCCCAAGATTCACAGCCTGAGTAAACTGGATTGCATACAAACAGTGCAGATACATAATGCATTGGAGATTCAGAACTGTGAGTGTATAATAACATTCTGTAACAGTGCTGAAGGGTAGTGAAAGAAAGGTCCAGGAAATCCTGGAAGGGGGTTTTGTTAGTAGGAACAGCAATCTGTTGTTCATTATGAGATAATGAGAATGGAAGGTATAGCTTTTCCTGCCACAGTTTGTGGTGCCGTACTTCAGATAAATTATACCATATGGGAAAGAAATGCCCCGGATGAGGTACCTGTCCTGCAGGGCGGTGTAGAGACTGCACAGAAACATGGGTGTATATCCATGAATGTGTAGCAAGGGAGCAGCTGTATTATGGTGTGGGTGTGAAGAGTGGTTTGCATAACTGGCTTCTGTGCTGCACAGGGACCTTTAGAGAATGCCAGTTATAGTTGCATGTACTTTTGAAAGTAACTAACTTAAACTATTTTTTTTTCTTTAAGATTTGGTTTTGATTCAGTAACCTTCAAAGTAATCAAGATTAATTTTGGCTGAGCTCCTGAAAAAAATTTCCAGCTTTATAGTACTCAGTTTGGATTCTATTTAGACTGTCACAAGTAGCTGAAATTCTAAAACAGCTTTTTAACAAAGTCAATTTTCAGTTAATATGGACTTCAGCATTAGTATTTCTAGAACGTAATTGGCACTCAAACTCCATACTGTCACGTCTTGTGGGTAGACTGCTTATGTAGTGCAGTACAGCACTTTTAAAGCAAATACCATGGATCAGGAGCTGAAGTCTGGCACCTCTCTAAATACTCACTATGCTGAATGTTCATAGTTCTCTAGAACAGGTTGCAAGCTAAGATACTCATTTGTCTAACCACATCTCTGATATGCTTGTAGCTCTGAGTGTGTCCATCATGACTCTTGCACTTGGCCAGGCATAGGTGTGATTTTGCAGAACTTCCATTGTGTTATTGAGATTTCCTGCAGTAGCTGTGTACTTATTTGCCTGAAGACCGATTCGAGTAGCAGCATGAGCCATGTTTCTTTAGAGTCAAAAACCTTTACTGTCCTCCAGTTCTGTTCCTTCCTATCTGCTGAGGACCAAAAGAAGAAATTATGTATGCTGCACAATGTTTTAATCACTGCTAATAGTACTTTGGAATTTTTTTCTTCTCTTCAATCACTCCTCAGAGAAGAAAAAAAAAAAAAAAATTGCAAGTCCAGTAGGGGCTCTAAACTGTTCCTCCTAGCATAAATCTTGCTGAAGCAAAGAACTATAGTTTAGAAGGAAGATACCTGGTTATATGCTATCAAACAGTTGATAAGAATTAAAATTTAGATGATTTAGATTAAATTTAAAATTTAAATTTAAAAATTTAGATTAATTTTTAAATTAGGCTGAGATAATGTAATTCTTACAGGAGAGAAGGTGTTTTGGCAAGGGAAATGAAAGCTGACAATAACTTGAAGTTATCTGACCACTGTGTCCCATAGAGATACTTTCTGGCAGCTACCACAGAGGTTCAGAACTTGCCTGATGGAACTAGGAGGAAAATTACATAGAACATGTAGGATGGCTTTTTGAATTGGTCTCAGGAATACAGCCACCTTAGATCTAGACTTAATCAGATAGTCTTACAGTATCTAAAAGTACCTGTCAAGTGTATGTAGATAATGTCTGGAATTCTATTAATTAGTTTAGTTCTGTTACTGCTTGTCCCAGTACAAAAAACTTTTCCAAGGGTTCAGGTCCTTGCCCAGTTGACAAGTCATTGTCTCTGCTTGATTAGTTTGTGGTCAGATAAACTCAGGGTCTAACTCCATGAGGGTCAGTGCCAGTACTATGGAGGAGATGGAAACAAGTATTTTGGTAAAGAGTGTTTCTGGACTTAAGTTAGCATAAGCTGCTGTAGAATTTTTCCCTCAAACCTGTTTTTGCACTGTATGCACAAGTTTTTAATCTTTTTTTGCGATCCTTTTTTAGCTTGATCACAGCTTTCTCTAAAGTTCTGGTTAAGCCTTGGAAGAAGACTTCAAAAGATGACTTCTTAGTCCAGAAATCAGACAAAAAATACAGGGATGAAAAAAGCCTTTCAGTTTCTCAGGATTATCCAAGTAGTGTAAAAGTATCTCCTATGAGTGTATGCACTAGTTCAGCAATAGGATGCTGAAAGGTGTAACTCATAAGAATAGGCAGTCTTGTAGGGGACAGGATTAAGTTCAGTGGGATTAGTTCTTTTATGTTGGAGCAACTGTTTTTTCTTCAGTGTGAAGTATTGATGTCTGGCTAACAGATAAATGATGTCATCAGAAGAATATGATATTTCAGTTCTACCTGCTCAGTACCTTCTGTTAGTTCCTAGATTTGGAAAGGAACAAGCATCAACCTGTTGTGCTGCTGTTTTGGTCATAGTTGGTTTTGTTGATATTCTCCTGGGTGCTGTGGGGTTTCCTCTGAGACTCTCAAAGATTATTGGGTGCTAGAGGATTATAATTTCTGTGATTTGAGAACCAAGATTCCAACAAAGGTGTCAGAAGTCTACACTTGAAGTGGGAAGTGTGTTGAAGTCTGGATTTGACATGTGAGACTAATCTAGCCGGTTATGCATTTTAAAGTGGTAGTTTATACTTAATCTTCATACATAGCCTAAGATTCTTCATCTTGAGTTAGTGTCCTAGGACAGGGTAATGAGATGAAAATCTTTCCCTTAGCATCATCCAGAGAAGGGAGTTTCTATAAACATCTTGTAGCTGCCACCATTTCACTTTCTTAAAGCAATTATCCTTTCTTTGATGTGTAAAAAGTGAAAGCATTCATTTAGGAGAAGTGCAAACCAGGCACTCAGAAGTCTGTTCACAGGAACATGTTGGAGCAGGGTAGATGATATCCTAGAAGAGGTTTGTGCAGAGTTGGTCTAGCAGTATCCTGTCTTGAGAGAGAAGACGTGAGTCTGGTTGCAGATCACTAATCTGTGGTTGTAAAACAAACTTGGCATTTATTTGGAAGGTTGTTAAGGAAGCTTATTATTTTATGCCTTTGAATCAGGTGATTATCAAGGTCCTTCAGTCATTTCTGGTGCTTATAACAGGAATGATTTTGATCTTGGTTCAGATTGGTGGTGGCAAAAGTAGCTAAATTGCAGTTTAAGACTTGGAGTTCCACCTGCACTGCTCCCTTCATGAGAGAGGTTGTTCTTCACTCTGAATTGCCATGAGTACTAACAAAAGTTCAAAACCTTAAATTCAATGCTTTTTCTTTCAAAAGAGACTCTTCAACTTGCAGGACTAATTATGCTTCATGTTGCTTGCTTTTGCATCTTGATAGGCCACAAACACAGGAAGTAGTTAGATCTGAGATTGGCAACAACTATTACCTGTTTTAGCCTTAGTGGCTGCCCAAAGTTATCCATTGCAGCTTTTCAATATCTCCTATTTGTCATTACAACCTGCAAATATATGTGTGTATATAAAATACATGCATTTATAAAAATACACAAATACATTGAAGTTAGGGTCTGAAAGAACCCCTTTAATGCTGAGTGTTGCAGAAAGGGTACGTACTAGATAATAGCTTAACATAAAGGGATCTGCTTCGGTCCTAGCTCATGGTCTTACCTTTACCTTTCCAGGCCATGTTCTTAAAACTGCTTCAGGTAATGGAAGGCTACCTGACAGAGTGGTAATACTGACAGTGAGTGATGGAAGTCTTAGACATGCTCCTTTATGGATGAAGGCTTTGTAAGAAAGAATGCGGATTGAATTATACATGAAATCACACACCATTGTTATTTACTAATGTACATCTGAGGATTGAACTCTATATGATTTTTTTAAAGAGTGAGAGCATTTGGGTTACATGGTTTAACTGCTCAGTCTGTAGGTTGTGACAAACGAAGGATGCTCAGGTATGTAAGACGTGATCTGCTAATGAGAATGATCTCAGAAGAAAATCTATTCAGGACAGCAAATGCATGATCTTCTGGCTTCTTTAATACGTTGCTTTCTGGATTGGGTAGGGCCACCTCTACACAGACTTGACTAGTACAGTTCACAGTAGCGCACCTAGTAGCTTTGGCTTCCATACCTGCTTTTCAGACTGCAGCTCTGCAGGCTGTATAATTGAATAAGACTTGTTTATTCAGACATGAATATGAACTAATTACAGGTGCAGAATGAGGCAATCCAGGAACCTAGGCATGCTATCGCATGAGCTATCCTGCCTCTGTTCTCAAATCTGCTTCAATCAAGACTCAAACACAACTTTGGTGGTTTAAACTAAACTGCCTGAGTTTGCCGTAAGTGGATTAGGGAAGCCTTATGATTTCTTTTGCTGGCAACAACAGTGGAGGTGGCAACAACTGACAAAAGGAGCAACCAACAGTTTGTAGCAGCAGTGTCTTCATTTTGGTGGAACTCTGAGCAGGATGCATGTCAAATGTAGCTGCCTTAGCACCAGATTAGACTAAACTAATGCAATTTGTTTGAATGTGTATTCTTAATTCCTGTTACGTGAATTTATAGAATCATTTAAAGTTGGAAAAGGCCCTTAAGATCATCGAGTCCAACTGTAGATGGACTTGAATTTAGTGGTAGGTGCAATTGCGTGTGTTTAGCCACTTGTATATATCCATTTCTGTATTGCTTCTCAATTTAATTCTCTTTTGTATATATGTTTAGCATATCATTATGTGGAAGGTGGCATTGTTGCAGGGCACAACAATGTGTCCTGCCCCTGGAAAACCTGTACTGAATTAATCATAGTTTTGCTAGTAGAATTAACATTTTTGTGTTCTGATTTCTTGACCACTGAAATACCTTGGCCTCTATTCAGCTGCCTTTGGACTAAGTCCTTCGTGAAGTCCTCTGCTACTTTGTAGTGCAGCTCTGAATTTAACTACAATGTGTTTCTTCCTAGATTCAGTGTCCTAGGCCCACATTGGTCTCTGCTTCTGCTTCAGGATAGAGTCCAATTGCAAATATGCCATTTAGAGAAGCTTCTGTAATTTTGAGCTAGTAGCTGCTGGGTACTGCAGTGGTGTGTTCGGAGTAAGATACTCAGTTACTTCAGTAAACAGGAAGTATTCTTGATCAGTTATTTGACCATATAAATTACTGAAGAAATTCTGTGTTCACAAAATGCTCTTATGTTCCCAGTCTGTTTCCATTGATTATGCTTTTCTGTTAAGGTGGCATTATGGTTGGAGAATCTTGAAGGACTAAAATGTGTTGTCAAGTAGTAAAGCCAAGGCTGGTTTTTTTTCCCCCTGGATGGCAGACCTCAGCATGTTTGTCTATAATGACTTGCTGGACAAAATTCTTCAAGAAGTGTTCCTCTAAAGTCAAATTTGGACTCATTGGATTCAGTCCTCCAAAGAATAGATTCTGTCCTTTACCCATCAATTTTCAAAGCAGATTTTTCATTAAAACCTGTTCATGGGCCCTGATCTGATTTTCAAGCTTAAAATAAACATGTTTGGTGGTTCATCCCTTTCCAGTGTTCTCACAGCATTTCAAGCATCATTCTGAAGCAGGGAATGTTTTACTCTAAGCAGGTTTCTACCCACTCAAGAATTAGTCTGTATTTTAGACATGCAGTTTGAAGGAAGTTTTCTTTGTGTTTCTTAAATTGAGTGGTGACAGTGAACCTTTCGTGTCTGGTGCCAAATATATCTACCAAAAACCCTGAAATGTTTCTTCTTGCTACTAATAGTAAGATCTTTCTAGGTGTCAAATGGGAGACCAATACTTGCACATTGTCACTCATACAGAAGCTTTAGCATGTTCCTAATTTCTGCAGTTCTTACACATGGCATTGGATTTGGAAGGAGTTCTGCTATAAATGTCACTCATCTTTAAAGAGAAGCAGTCAAGAAGTACCACTAACTTGATCAATAAACAATACTGTACAAACTTCTGGAATCCTCTATGATAGATTTTGACAAACTGGTTTATCTTGTGGAGATAAATAATCTGTATGAGCTGGTTTATTAATCTGTAGTTTTGATAAGGTTAAGTAGGGGTTGATGTAAGTATACCTGACCATATGAAGATAATGTGGTTGCACAAATGGAATTTTAAGCTGAATTTGGCCTGCAGAAACTTCTGGTAAGTGAGATGTGATGCTTTAGGCTTGGTAGGTTCACTCTTAGAAGACAGCTATGAGAGCTTTAAGCTGATCTCTATTCTTTGTTTCTTTCAGGCACTGGTACATCGGTATTTTAAAAGTGGTAAATTGAATGCATAATGTTAAGTGTCATTCCTAAGGTTAGCTACTTTTATTGAGATAGGCACACTTAGTTGTTCCTGATATGAGTAGGGTGGGCTAACCAGTTTAAACAGAGTTAAGCTGTATTGTTAAGGCTTCTGAGCTTTAAGTATGAATAATTTTCTGGTTACTGATATTAAAAAAAGATGATCTGATGACTGTCACTATTTCAGGAAACGACGTTGGCAGAAGTTCTTACGGTGCCATGCAAGTGAAACAAGTTTTTGATTATGCCTACATTGTTCTTAGCCATGCAGTATCACCACTTGCAAGATCATACCCAAATAGAGATTCTGAGAGGTAATTAGTCCACTTTTTGAATATCCATTTGTCTGTGTAATCAATTAGGAATGTTTGGGTCTAAATCAGTAAAAGGAGTATTGTTATTTATTGTTTAACTGTGGCTATATTGAAACCTGCCCAGAAACTTAGGCTGCCTGGTGGTATGAGAGTGTAATACTTCCATGTGCGGCACTGAAATGAAGATATCATGACAAAACCCAGGATGAGTTCAGTGTGAGGTTCTCTTAAGTGTGGAAGGGAGCCAGAATATAATTGGTCTTTCCTCATTCTGCTTAAAATATTTCAAAGGAAGGTTTGCTGGTTTAATGTTTGGTATGATGTATGTCTGTACTATGGCAGAAAGAAATGTGTGTGATCAAATTCCTTGTTTAGACACAAAACTAGACATCAATACTAGAAATTTCCCTAGTTCTTTAGTACATGCTCCCATAAGCTGTTTTAATAAGCTTGTTATGTAATTAAGCTATTAAAAGAAGCAGTTCAGTTTGGCCATAATGTCAGAACTGCCATTAAAAGTAGCATACTTCTAGATGTGCCATTTTTAATGCAGTTCTTAATGTCTTTCATAGAAACGCTGTACAGCTAGTACTTTGTCAGCTCTCACCTTTGCAAGTTTTCTGTTTTTGAGAGGGGGAGGAGAAAGAGAATGAAGGCATGTCAGCCATGTTGCATTTTCATTCATGTATCTGCTCTAGCATCTGTTATTCTAACCCTCAGTACAGATTGAGGCTAGATCAGAGGATGTCTCTTCCCTGATACTTCCTTAGAATCCCAGTGGCTTTGAGCTCCCCAGCTAATCACAGGGAGGGATAGCTGTAACAAGCCACAGAAACCATCTAGGTACAATTCCAAACTCTAGTCAAGCTGTTAACTTCCAGTATTAATGTCATTAGAAGGTGAAATAGTCCTCCTATATTAAGTTTACCACAAAGTGGATGCAGTCTTTCACTTGTTGATTTAAAACTGACAGTATTTTAATAGTGCCTGTGAATTTCTAGTTTTTTTGAGGTATTAAATTCACAAAGGTTGAGACTGCACTTGTGCCTGTGATGGAGATAGAGGAAGAGTGGTACATAGTGTTACACACTGACATTTGAGACTGCTGTTTTAAGATAAATGAAAGGTGTATCTGTTAAATGTGTACTGGCTGATAATTCTTGTTGCTGAATGAAACTTCATTCTTATCTAAGTATAGATAGAACAACTTAGGGATTTCTGAAGTTTTGCTTGTGTCTCAGGTCCTGGCCTTCATTAACTTCTCTGTCATTCTCCAAAGGATATTGTCATTATCTTATGAGGTACCTGTATTTATTACAGACATCAAAAAGTAAATTTGTAAATGTATTTAATGGAAGCCTCAGATGTCATCAATGTGCACTTCACATGTACACTTCTTACTGTATTTGGGAAAATGTTTGAATTTTGTCACAACTTCAAACCTGGGGAGAAGTCCCAGCAGAAGTGTTCGGGTGTTGTACATCTGACCTGTCTTTCTGCTAGTTCTGGGCTGTCTGTGCCAGTGATGTCTGAGTCTCAGAACTTGTCATGCCAGTGGCTTGCTATTCTGTCAAGGGAGTACTGTCACAAGAGCAACAGCATTCAACAAAGTCCTGAATGCAAGTAGTTCCCCCAGCACCAGTCTTGTCAGTGCCAAAGGACCTGTGGGTAGATGATGAGCTGTTTGGTAACAAGTTTGTTGCAGAACATCAGCAGCAGTCCATGTTCAGTCTCAGTTTTTAGTTAAACCTGATGTGCTTGGGCAATCCAGGTGTGTTTCAGATCCTTCTTGCACCTGTTAGGCGGAGTGGTCCAGGCTCTGTATAAAGACTTTTCTGGTGGTCTGACCTAAAGCCTTAGACATCCAGGAGCCCTTTGTCCTGATCCAGTTTTTTTCCCTTTTCTAGGCTTGTTAGTGGTAGGTTAAACTAAACAATGGGCTCCCTTTAAGACCAGTGACTAGCTATATGACAGTTTACTAGAAGGATCAACAGAGACTAAATGAAGAGCACTTGAAAGGGTAGGAACTTGCAGGAGGCTGAACTCCCCGGGCTGGCTTGAGTTTATTCAGTTTTGTTGTAATTGGAGCTACCTTTCCCCTAAGTGGAATGGTTTGTTCTTGAACTACCTGGTGGGTTTGAATTCATGTCAACTCTTTCCAGGGAAAATTTCTGTGTACAGAGTACGCAGTATTTTGTAGATGACAATCTCAATAGATTTAAAATCTTTCTGGGTGATCATTACTGCTCTTTTTCAGGGTCAGTCCAACTCAAAGGAGCACAAGCCTAAGTTAATTCCAGGCTTCTTGGCCAGCTGCTACTTCTGATATTCCCAGCGGGGGAAAAGAAGGGTCAGATTTTGGTCCTTCAGCATAGGCCTTTTTCTTGTCCGTGTTCTGTATTAACAAGTCCCACAGAATAATAAGGGGTGGATTCAAATCACTCACCAGCATCTTCATTCAAGCTTCCAGATGTAACATCTGGAGTGTAGTGGGAGTTGAAAGCTATCTTCTATCTGAGTAGAAACAGTAATCAGCTGAGTCCTGAAAGCAATTCTTACAGCTACAGAAATTACTGTAACACTGTTTTGTCCCCAGTCTCAGTTTTGTTAGAGCAAACAGATTCCTGTCATCTTGGAAAGAGGGATTTTCCTAGTAGGAAAATGAGGATGCTGATCTGTTTTGAATCTGTACAACTTGTATGCAAGGTCAAGTTTGGTGTTGTGACTTCAGCCAAAATGACTGAAAATCATGATTGATTTCTTAATATTTGGGGCCACAGGGACATGAGTCTAGCTGTAAAATACAGTTATGGACAGGATGGCTCCTGCTTAAGGGTCAGTGTCAGTATGTGCTTTGAACAGCTTTAGTATGGTCTTTTGGCCATAGCCTGTCTCTAGAGAAGAGTGTGTCATCTTATGTGAGCTCACTAAAGAAGTCTGTAAGGAGTGATATTTTCCAGTTAATGGCCATTTTCTCAGTTTTATTCTGTTTCTTGATAAACCACAGGAAACCTTAACAAATGTTTGGCAACAAGCTCTTGCTTGTTGATTCATGTTCTTTGAAATAGCAGACTATCTGTTGCTACTGTGTCCATGGGCTCTATATTAAGGTGCAATTTCACATGATACCTTGCCTAGCCTAACTGTCTGTGGGCTATCTCCTGTCAGGTGCCCTTTTGCTTCTTTCTCAGTCTGTATGTTCCTGACTCTTGCCTTGGATCAGATCTAGCAATCCTGCAGTCAGAAGGTGAGTCAAATGAACTCTCTGGTCTGGTTGCAAACAAATACATCAATGCTTCTGTCATGTCAAGAACTTGATCCAGCTTGTGGCTGTGTGATGAGCAGATCAGAAGCAAAAGAAGCAGCAGGAGTTTATGTTTGGGGGAAGATGGAGACAGTGGTATTGTACCATATGACAACCATAAGTTATGCTGATCTGGACATGACAAAGATGCATCCTTAGGTTAATATGTATGTCTGTAGAGCAGGATGTTGACTTACATGTTGGCCTGTTGCATGGTTCAGGTACAAATGTGCGCTCAGACTGCACCTCTAAACAGCAACGTAGCTGCATTTGCAAGGCAGACGAGGTCATATGAAATGAGGAATGGAACACTGGTTCTGCTGTGATGTGCCCTTCCAGTATAACTAAGACTTTTGAAACCTTCCTTCAGTTCCCAGAGCTGCAGATCCGTAACAGGTTCCTCCTTATTTGTGCTAGACATGGTGCAGGTGGATGAGGGAAAGGGACTGTCATGCCAACAGGCCAGAGTTCAGAGTTTGAGGAAGCCTTGGCAGGGTTTTGTTATTGCATGTCAGGGCTTGTCATTCACAGGTGATAATCTTCAAAACAATAGTCTGGGCCATATGTAAAGTGATTTTTCTGTCTCTGTGCTCGAAAGCTGTATGAAGCTAGGTCTCTTCCTAGCATACAGTTCAACTGATCTAACTGCCAGCAGGTATATATGTTTGGATTGTCCTGGCTGGCCAAGATAGTCCTTGGAGCTCTGGGAGCTGTCAAAAGGAATGTTAAATTTGCTAGATCTGCTGACACAGAAAGCAGAAATGTGCTTTCTGAAATAGTCCCTCCTTTGCTTCACCTCTTGAATGATGGGTGGCTGTCACTAGAATGCATGCTGTCTCTTAAGAGGTGTCAGCAAATACCAGCTTTTCCTACACAGGGTATTTGTCTGGGTAAAGGTTTTAGATTTTTTTTTTCTTATCCTTGTGCTCAAGCAGATCCTTCTGAGGTGCTCCTTAGTCTGCTTTTAGATTATATTGCCCTTTTAATGTTGGGGGATATTTCATAAGTTCAGTTAAGGCCTACTGAACAGTATTTTGACTGTTCTTTCACAGACTTGATGTTTTCCCTCCTCTGCTGGTCATTCATATGGAGCTTGGCTGGAGGTTTACATATTTGATTTTACTGAATCTTATGTCAGCAATCTGAGCCTTTTAAGAGTGATCTTAAGATTTATTTGAACTGTAGTTATGCTGTAATGACAGCTAGAAAGTGTCCCTGTGAACTGAAGGCTTGCAGTGTGTAAAAAGAGGAGCTTCTAAGCTCGTATCATAAAATAAACTAGGTATGTAAATAGCTTATTCCTGGTTTTACTATATGATAATATTAAGGGAAAAGCCTTAAAGGGGTATCTTTCATAGGAGAGCTGTCTAATTTTATTAACCAGTTAACTGTGTTTTTTCCATGTCTTCCAAACAAGCGTCTTTGTAGAACTGTGGGAGTCTCATATCTGTAGAAATTCTGGCCTCAGCCAAAAAACCACAAACCCAAAAGTGTGGAATTCCCTCATACTAAAGGCTGAGCAGATTAACAGGGTGGTGGGGTTTTTTTGTTCCTAAGCATTTTCAGTGTTGAAAACAGACACAAGCACATTTTCAAAATGTTTATTTAAAAAAATTGTTCTCTGACCCCATGATGTGCTTGAGTCCCATACATATGAAATGGTGTTCTTGGAGAGCAGTATCTAGTTTGATCACACTTGCTTCCTCTTTATTTGCTGCTATATTAAGTATATGGCAGTATAGCCTTAATCACCTTTCAGTTTCTGATGTCTTACAATGTTTTTAATTTTGGTGTACAAGCAATGTAGCATGGATCTGCCCTTGAACTCCTGACCTGATAACTTAGTGAATTTCTGTTTTTCTACCTTTCTACCAAAAATGAGAGTTTGGGGCTTTGCTCTCTATTCTCTGTGAAAGGAGCTGGGGAGAGAGGAGATTCCCAGGTTCTGTTTGTGCAACTCTGCCATAATTGTTGGTGTAGCAGTAGTTGCACCCTTTACACCTATTTGATAGCAGGCATATTTGGTATATCAGTCTCCCAGGCTGATAAAAATACCATCCTATATCATTAATTTTCCTTCTGGTATTTGAAGGCATGACTATAGATTTACTTTGGGGAAAGTACTCCAAGAAGCTTCAGACTTTACAAACTCCTTCTCCATAAGAGCTTATGTTGTTGTATCCATGTTCATTTTCTGCTTCTGGTTCTAAGACCACTAGTAGTGGTTGTTAAACTTACAGGTCATCCTGGAGTAAAAGCTCAAATCTTTCTGAAGGTATTCTCAGATGAAACTTCTTAGCTGCAAGATTTCCTTCTCCGTCCCAGTGCTGGAGAGACCCAGCATGTGTATGTTTGAGTCCCATACTGGTGCTGCTGCCTTAGGAACTGCAACTTCAGGGCCACAGCTGATTCTCTGCTGTGTTGGTCATCCCTGTCTTCATTCTGTCTCCTCCGGTTTAACTTCCTTTTTGAGACTGAGAAACCAGAACTGCACCCAGTGTTTAAAATTCTGTTATGTCATGGGAGTGTACATTGACAAAAATGCTATCCTCTGTTTTATTTGTTCCTTTCTTAATGTGCTCTACTTAGTTATTGAACTGTGGTTTCCAAAGAATTACCTATTATAACCCAGATCTTTAGTTGCCGAGTCCGAGTGGTGACAATCATGCCTTTAATTCTGCATGTAGAATTCAAGATTTTAGTTTCCGACATGCATCGCTTTATCTACATTACATAAATAGAATGGTGGATGACATTCATTCTGTCTGTGGGACCCTTCTGCAGCTATTGGACTTGTAACCTTAGATATTATTTGGTTCAATGTTTGCTTAAAATGGTGGGCTGCCTTTTTCAGTACTAATACACCAATATGTCTTTCAAGTTGGAAGACTAAATGTGGAACACGTGGTATTTGATCTTGCATGAAATAGTAATCCCTAAGCCAGTAGGAGAATTATTGCTCATTTTTGAATTGTTATTATGAAATGACCTAGTAAGGGTAGTCTAAATACATTTAGGCTATGTATGTCCTTCCTTCCCGTTATACACCTAAACAAAAAGAAAATTGCAGTACAGGTACAATGTACCTTTATGATATGAAATACAAAATAAGGTTTATTGTAACCATTGAAGATTTTCAAAGCTAAAATAACACTACCTTCTCCAAGACGGTAACTTTTCACAGCCCATTTTTGTACAATAGTCAGACCTTCATGTGTCTCGAGCGTGGAGTTTATAGTTAGTGTTTCAGCCACTAGTCCCTGATGAGAGGAAAGCTTGAAAGTTTAGCTATCAAACAAGGACACCACTCCTGCTCAAGAAGTACAATTCAAATAACTGAATGTTGGGAAGGTATGTTGGAAAAATAATACTTTGT